AAGATTTTATTTATTTATTTGACAGAGAGAGACACAGCGAGAGAGGGAACACAAGCAGAGGGAGTGGGAGAGGGAGAAGCAGGCTTCCCGCCGAGCCTGACGCGGGGCTCGATCCCAGGACCCCGGGATTGTGACCTGAGCCGAAGGCAGACGCTTAACGACTGAGCCACCCAGGCACCCCTATTTCTTTAAATAAATAAAAAGATGAGGCAAATATGAAAAAAAATGGCACTTATAAATTCCAGGTAACGGATACATGTAGGTCTATTATATTATTCTCTGGACTTTTCCGTATTTTAATCATGAAAAAAAAACTTTTAAAAGAAAATAGCAGCTTTCAAAGTTACTTCGATTATCAGATGCCTAAAAATAAAACACTAAATTATTTCAAAAACAACAGTCCATTTTAACTTCCAAATAGTTTCACGTATCTTCTTACATAGACGCTAGTAATAAAAAAACTGCATCCGCCCCTCGTTTAAAATTAAAAGGAGGAGAGTGAGATGTTAGAGTCCATAGCTTTTCCATTCAAATCTGTCAGATTTGTCCTTTTACCCGCCACCCCCTTGGTCTAGGCACGCGCTGCATCATCCCTTGGTTACTCTAATAGCCCCTTAAAGCTGCCAGGTCTCTGCCTGTAGTCTCCTCACTTCCAAGTTAATCCTGCAGAACATTCTTTATGAACTACTGTCTCTGCTTTTGTTATATCATTCTCCTGCTTAAAAACCTAAAATGGTTCCCCAGTGTCTACCCCATCAAGCTAAATGCCTTTCCTTGGCTTCCAAGGCCCCCTATCATTTAGACCCGTTGCACCCAGCCCACTTGATTTTCCCTCTGCTACACACACGGCCTCTATTTTCATCAGGCAGCTCTCCAGCTACCGCTGCACATACTATGCTTCCCCCTGCTGGAAATCCTCTGCTCAATCTCTCCGCCTGACTCAAGCTCCATTAGCCACTCCACCATTCAGCTCAGGTCCCTCCCTACACCAAGATTTCTCACTCCTCCAACGCCCGCTGACCTCTCCTTTCTCTCTGCTCCCAAGCAGACCACTGGTGAGGACACACTCAGACCGGCACTCACAGACGGGCTCAGGAAGTATATGCCATCCGCAACGTTTACTCTGTACCCTGAGAGAGACGGTCGACAGGCTTCCCCACCAAACAAAACCCCGGAACAACAACAAATCACACTGATCTCAAGAGCTTTCTACTTTTGCCATCTAACTTGGAAAAACAATTTTGCTTTGTCTCCCCAACTTGTTTTAGAACTCCTTGAAGGTGAGGGGCAAATCGTAGACTAGTTCTAAATGACAATGCAGGGCACAAAGCTAAATATATCAAGTAAACCAATAACAGTCTTGCTTTAGCCATCCTCTCAAACGAAGAGATTAGGAAAGAGAAAACTAGGATTGATTTCCAAGTCTCTGTCCGTGTTACCTCCCAAGTTTTGCATGAACTAATTCATCTCTGGGTCCCGAAAATAGGATCTTTTGATATCCATACCTCCAAATTAGTCATTCATCCCCAGGGCTTGCAACTGAAGCCTATCTGCCTGTGTTTCTGGGGTCGGAACGAAATACTATCTGTGAAAAATGCTAAGCTACTTACAGACACCATGTTAACCCAAACCTCAATAGAAGGGAAAGAAAGGAGAGTTATAGCCCTGACAAAACTGAAATCTTCACTATCCATGCCTTCAAAATATTTAGTACATAAAAAAAAAAATCTAGTATGCATTTCGGTTCTAAGAGTGACAAGAACGCCTTATTGCCAGCCAATGCTTTTCCAAGTTCGTTTTGACCTGAAATTGTCTCAAAATAGCAACGAATGTTGACTTCAGTCATTTTGCCTTTAATTAATCATTTACTTTCCAGTCCAAACCCTATCTAAATGGTAAAAAGATCTGAAGATGAAGCATTTCTGCCGATCTCAGGTTACTGAACTTGTGCAGATTTAAAATTGCTATCAGTAAAGGATTTTCTCATTCATTCAGCATTTGCTGACTACCCACTATTGAATGAAATAAAAAATAATAGTGAAGTGCATGAACTCTGTAAGCTTAACAGACTTGAGTTCAAACACCAGCTCACCCACTGACGAGCTGTGTGACCTCCAGGGAAGTCATTTATTGCATCAAGCCTCATTCCCTTTACCTATAAAGCTGGGATAGTATCTACTTCCCAGGCTTGCTATTATGGACTGAGATGCAGCTAGTCACACACTCAGGGTACTCTGTGGTACAAAGTAAAGCACTCAAACAATGACTGCAAATACCATCACCGTGTCGAACACTGCTGTACGTGGGGTGGCGGGGATACAAAGACATGAACTTTCTGTTCTAGTTAGGAAGACAGACATGCATGCAGATGATTTCTTACATTATTTACATTTATATTATTAATATAAAGCAAGAGAGGGGTGCCTGGGTGGTGCAGTCGGTTAAGCATCCCACTACTGGCTTCAGCTCACGTTGTGATCTCAGGGTCATGAGATCGAGCCCCGCGTGGGAGCGGGGAGTCTGCTTGGGTTTCTCTCTCTCTCCCTCTGCCCCCCCCCCGTGCGCACGCGCTCTCTCTCTCTTTCAAATTAATACATAAAATCTTTTAAAAAAAAAAGAGCAAGAGAACATAACACAAATCTAATTTGTAAGCTTACCTTTATCTTTAGCATCAGGAAATGTCGTGTTATCGCTAATGTTGTAGGAAAACGAGATGCCATCAATTGAGTAAGTAGACGCCTCCTTTGTAAAATTCACAGTCCAGGAAAAACCAGATCCAAACTGCACCGCTATTTTGGGATTGTTCTGGCCATCCCCACAAATGCTTCCATTATATGTTGCAGTGCTAAAGTCTGAAATGGTTACAGTTTTCTAAAAGAAAAAGAAGTTCGGGGGTAAGGAGCAAACAGGCAGTAATGAGCACCAAGCATTTGCAGAGGATGTGCCAATTCAGTCTCTGTCACCCCCCCTCCCCCATTGCCAGGTTGCCCTTGGCCTGGCCCGTTGTGTAAACCAGTCTCAGATTCTTCACCTACATACCAGTCCTCTGGACAAATTCATGTATGTCGAAAAGGAAAAGGAAACTTGGTCTGAACTTCTATTCTTGATTAAAAAAAAAAATCAGGTTATAAGGAGGCAGGACCTTAACTAAAAGAAAATAAGAAGGCAAAAGGGTTGGGAGGATACCACCCCAAGGATATTTTAACAGCAAACTATTAAAAATGGGAAAGCTTTGATGTGCACATGTTAAAGCATTACAGATGTAGTCAGACCTAAACGCCACAGTCTTCGGATCATTTGCCCTTAATCAACTGCAAGAAGAACTCCAAAGAACCCATGAAATAAGATATTCCTTCCAAGAAGAACTCCAAAGAACCCATGAAATAAGATATTCCTTCCAACACTAAACAGAATACCTTCAAGTATGTATGTTTTTGGAAACCCACAGAATTTAAGTGTTAAGTCAGTTAACATATGAAATCTTATTTACATAAATGTATACAAAGGATAAAGGGTAGAACTGAGTTCCTACTGTAAAACTCAAGGAAAAAGAAAAGCACTTACATAAGTTTTGCTTGTGGTCTCATAGCGTATTGTGAAATTCATCTGCCATTTTGCATAAAGGCAAGTGGCTTTTTCTGAGTCTGTCACATTAAGTTCCAAGGCATAAGATGAGACTGCTCCTAGATTAGAAAGAGTAAGACTGTAAAATTGTACCACAAAAACATATCTGAAACAAAAAGCTCTATCCACCACTGAAATTCAACCAGCTCTAAAATGAAACAAAATACTTAGAAAATATATGGTATCTTGGTGATGGTTTTTCTTTGTATTTTTAGCGGAATCCTATTGATAAAATTAGCATCACCCCTTCTAGAACGAATGGTTATTTGACCTAGGGTGCTTAGGTAAGGGCACAGACCGGTGACATTTGCCTTTCGCCTCCTAATAGCCATACCCACGTTCATCTGTGCCTTGCTAGTTTTGCCTGTCAGGACTTTTGTTTTTAAGGTAAATGAGCTTACGGGAAGCTTGGGGGGGGGGTGTTAAACTGTCTCTCTCATTTGCAACAAGGATGGAACTAGAGGGTATTATGCAAAGTAATGTAAGCCAGAGAAAGACAAATACCATATGATCTCACTCATGTGTGGAATTTAAGAAACAAAACAGATGAACATAGGGGAAGGGAGGGAAAAATAAAATAAGATGAAATCAGAGAGGGAGACAAACCATAAGAGACTCTTCACTGTAGGAAACAAACCGAGGGTTGCTGGAGGGGAGGGTGGTGGGGGGATGGAGTAACTGGGTGACGGGCATGAAGGAGGGCACTTGATGTAATGAGCACTGGGTGTGATATGCAACCGATGAATCACTAAATTCTACCCCTGAAACTAATAATACACTATATGTTAATTAACTGATTTTAAATAAAAAAACCCTGTCTCCCTCAAACCAGCTGGTGGAACTTTCTCTGTCAAAATGATAGATCGGATGTTCTATGGTCTTGCTTTCAATCCTGTCACAAGCTATGTGACCCATGACACACGGATGTCTTGGCAAACTATTTTATTCTGATATGAAGGTGTGGGATAGCTCTTTGTAAGCATGTGTACCATGTGACCAAAAGAACAGAGTTTCAAAGGTTGTTAGGTCTAAAAGCAAAAGGTTAATTTTTTATAAATGTAACATTCATCACTTTGGTTTATTTTAAAAATCCAATCGATTAGGAAGGCTGATGAATCTGACATGGACTCAAAGTCACTTCCTATGTTCTGAACCTGCTACCTCTTTAGGCAGAGAAACCTTACAGGGACAGAAAAGCCTTGGGACTTTTGAGCTAACTTGGCTCTGATCTACACAGGGACATCACCTATTAAACTGAAGAGCCCAAGGACTCAAAATACTATGTGCCAGCAAACACACCAGCAGTATAAATGACTGACAACCATTTAAGATGGTTGTCTTTTCTTTTCTTCACCGTCTCACACATTACCCAAGGGGTGAGCTGTTTCCTGTTAAGACAGATGCGTATCCTTTAATGATACCTGAGCAACCCAGCGTCATCTACAAGTAGGGACATGCTATTGACTGTACAGCACAAAGTCCTAAGAGGAATACCAAGGAGGCGTGCCTCAGCAATAGCTTTCAAGTTGTACACGGATGCCGACCGTCGTGATGCTCCAGAGACCAGGCTGCCTCACAGGCCTGAATATTCTGCTGAAGCTTGTGGTTACTGAGTACTTAACGTATTGGTTAAGGCTTGAAAAGACCTCGTGAGGCCTAAGTAGATTTCACAGCCGTTCTGTTCTAAGCACAATATGGAATGGAGGAGCCTGTCATCCCTGACCCAAGGCTACCCTGTAGTGGTGCTGGGAACTCTGTCTTCTAATGTTCCCAATCAACTGGAGGCCTGCTTTTTATATTTAAAGTCCCTAGCTTTAACATAACCTCCTTGTATTCAAAGGCTTCAAAACAGCTGGAAATAACCAAGAAAAGCCTCACACGGGTTAATCATTTACTTTCCAAAGATACTAAAGTAACAGAAAAAAAAAATGGCAGAAGATGGTAACAGCCCCGACGTGCCCACGTGGGAGACCCCAAACGTCATGCAGCAGAAGGCACAAGTTGTGGTTCAAATTTACCACTACAGTAAATTCAAGATAGTCTAGCTGCCGACCTGAAAATGAGAACTGAGAAATGCCCCGAGGGCTCCAGCCCTTTCTGTCCTGGTGCCTTCACCACCTTTCTCCCAGTGAGAGCTGTTCTTTTCACAGAGCTTCCCCGCTTCCTTCCTCTCTACCTCTCCCAACTGCACCGGAAACCACTTTCACTCAATCGCTATCAACCTCACACTCAACAATTCCAAAACGAAAATTCACTCTAAACTGGTCCCCTTCTCGGCCTCTCTAGCTCTCAAGGAGAGGTGGGACCCAGTACAGTCACTCAGGCTCACAAGTTTGGGAATTAGCTTCTACTTCCTTCCCTTCGTGAAGTCCTATTGGGTTTTTTCTCCGTCAAATCCTCTCTTAAATCCAATCTTGGGCTTTTATTTCTATTCCCAATCCACTGTCCCACCCCCAAATTACTACAGATGCCTCCTAGCTGTCCCTCAGAAATGCTCCCTGTTTAATGGTCCTTAAATACCTCTTCCTCTCTGGACCTAGCTCCAAAACTCCCATATTAAATCTAAGTTCCTCCACCCGACTTTCAAAGTAATCCTTAATCTCATCCCACCCTCTTCCTTCAACTTCTCTCAAACCATTTTCCCAGAACACACCCTTTAATCCGGTTAAACTTGTTCCACTGGACCCAAATGCCATGCTCTATACTCAATTTCTACCCCTAGGCTTCACTGTCCCTAACAATTGAAATTCACGGTTTTTCCACTGACCTCAGTGTTCACCTCAGGAAGGATCTCCCTCTCTGTCTGGCAGCTGCCCCCAAATCTGAAACAACCCCCCCGCCGACTCTGCCTCTTCCTAATAATTTCTGGCCTATCTCCACCCACTGTAAAAGCTGAAAACGTCAGACACCTGCTGTCCCGGCCTCCCTGGCAGCAGGGATGGGCACCTGTGCTCGGCTCCGCCAGACAGGGGCATCCACCCCAGATTTCAGATAGGAGGGCAGCGGAATGGAGCCGTGAACGGAAGCAGCTGCAGGCAGGGTCAAGGTCCCAGGCAACAAGGCCGGCCAAGCTGGTGGCAGGGGCCCGGAGCGGGCAGACTGAAGTGTCATGCTTGGCGCTGTTAGTGCGGCTCAGGGGCGTGATTTCGGAAACACAACCAGGCTTCGAGATACACAGCCAGGAGCTCTGGTAATTCTGAGTTACCGGATACACATTTTTTCATAAAGTAAAATTGTATTGATGTGCAACACACATAGAGTGCACACTGTAACACACGAAAGGGAAAAGCGCACGTAACGTGAAGCAGACAGCTCCAAGAATTTCCACAAGCTGAGTGCACTTGCGTCAAGAACCAGAACACTGCAAGTCCCCCTGAAGCCCCCGCTGTTCCCTGTTCCAGGTACCTTTCTCCCCTCCCAAGGGCAACCCCTATCCCGACTTCTAACTGTACAGATTAATTTTGCCTGATTTTCAACTTGATACCAATGGAATCACTCACTATGTTCTTTTGTGTCTGGCTTCTTGCACCGCATATCATGTTTGTGAGGTTCACCCAGGGTGGGGCGTGTAACTGCAGTCTGTCCAAACTCACTCTGTACGTGTAGCTTTCTGTTATTGCGTAAACACTCCACTACTGATCTAGGGTAGATCGTAGATGGCATATGGACAGTTTCCAGTCTGGTCCTACTATGCATGGACACACTGGCGAACACACGTGGATGTGTACCTGTTGGGTATATACCTAGGAATGAAATGGTGGGATCGAAGCCTACGCATATGCCCTGATATCTTTTTAATAAATTCCCTTTCTGCTTAAAATCGATCAGATTTTATTTCTGGTGCTTACAATTAAGAACCTGGACTGGGGGGCACCTGGGTGGCTCAGCTGGTTAAGTGTCTGCCTTTGGCTCAGGTCATGATCCCGGGGTCCTGGGATGGAGCCCTGCACTGGGCACTCTGTTCAGCAGGGAGTCTGGTTCTCCCTCTGACCCTCCCCCCTCTCGTGCTCTCTCTCTCTCAAATAAATAAAATCTTTAAAAAAAAAAAAAAAAAAAGAACCTGGGGGCACCTGGGTGGCTCAGTTGGTTGGGCATCTGCCTTCGGCTTGGGTCATGATCCCAGGGTCCTGGGATCGAGCCCCGTGTCGGGCTCCCCGCTCAGTGGGAAGCCTGCTTCTCCCTCATCCCTCTGCCTGCCACTCTGCCTACTTATGCTGTCAAGTAAACGAATAAAATCTTAAAAAAAAAAAAGAACCTGGACTGATAAGCTACCCATTTTTCAACAGCCAAGTATCTCTACCAAGGTCTCCTTAACTGTTAAAAGCCTCGAGGAGCTGTCATACATGGCCCTTACCCCCACCTTTCTGTATATTGTATACTATCCTGAATTATTCAGTTATTTTATGCCTGTAAACCCTGACTCCTATGTTGTCACAAGCTCTAAAACAGCAGTTTTCAACTGTAACTTCACAACAAACTGATGTGTCATGGTAAATTATAGTATACAGCAGGTAATTTGTTAACTAATAAAAAAAGGACCTGAGTCTGTGAATGAATGATATACATGGATTCAAGATTCCCCTTTGATAATGTCTCTGCCACTCATTTGAATTCCAATATTCTCCCTTACCAACAGATGATCTAATCTATGCCGCAGCCCCTCGGAGGGTGCCTCTTATATGAACGTCATTCATCACGGGTGCCATGGTTGGGGAGACCATGTCTATTACTTTCCCTCCATCTCCTATCATTCCTAATAGTGTGGAATACACATGAGTTTCTCAATAACTCCTGGCTGATCATATCAAGGTAAAAATACCCTGCGATAAGGACCTGAAATATAGTTTAATTACAAAAAGGCCAGTGTTTTAGCTCTTCCCAATCGTGAACCTAACCTATCTGGCTTCTAGATACTCCCTCAACCCCCAAGTCAGTTTTCGCCTCAATAAATTTTGACATGAATTTCAAGCTAGGAATAATGTATTTTCCATAAGGCAAGTTGACAGTTGAAACATTTACACTTTGCTAAAAAAGTCTCCGGCAAACCATTTCCATCCTT